AAACAAGATGTGTACTGACTGTTTAACGAGAAACTATTCTGTAAACCTTCACTTAAAGTACAATTAAAAAAAAAAAAAGTTATTCTAGAAAATAAATAGTGTTTGGATGAAAAAAAAAGCTAGCTATTATTATTCTAAGTCTGAATCCAAGGCCTTGTTTTTCCATTTTATCTTGCTGCACCTCAGGGAACCAAGTAAATCTTTAAAGGAATATCTAGGTTTGAATATACACTGTTAAATCAGGTTCCCAAAGTAGCTCACAAACTTAAGCAAACAGATCTGTGTCTTTGTATATATTGCAATCCTAAAAACCTGTAATCCAGTCAAATGTGCAAAAGTTACACCTTCCAGGGGTGCTCTGTGCCTAGAGCACAAAACAGTTATCAATCAAAACTTAACCCTCATTCTTGTGATGCCATCACCAGCAACTGCGACAACATCTCCCACATTTTTAAATGTTCTTTGATTTTATACTTATATTTCATCATCAACTGCTCAGTTTAAGTACAAGTGTGAGTATGGAACAAAGGACAAAAATTGACCACCTTCATCATGGCAATTAAGTGTCACTCTGTAGTAAATCTATGCTTCTTATCACTGATATCAACACTTCCATGTTTCACATTTTTCATTTATTTTTCTAAAATAAGTAAATATTTGTTGAAATAGGTGAAATTAATTATTTTCCCAAACAATCACTTAGACACTACCACACAGACACTGCCACAAATGAACGCTTGCCTGGCAGGAGCCCCACAATAAGACAGTTCAAAACACAGCTCAATGAAACAGAGAAGGATCTGTGTAGAAGTGCTGACTTGTAGAAACGTAGTTTGAAATAACTGGGAAATGTTCAGAAAGAAATGTCCAGAAGCAGGAAGAATAAGCAGGAAGCCACTGCATGTTATTTGTCAATTCATGCAGCTGCCTCAGAAAACAGGTTGAACTATGACTTGGCCTCACATTCCAAGCAGAGAATATGAGCACATGGCATAAAGAGGACAAACTGGACAGCTGAGAACAGACATTTCCTAATGTCCCTTCCAGCTCTGAGAGGACTGTAATCAGTCCTCAAACGTAGAAGGCATTCTCATCTCTTCTGAAGGGGGGAGTGTCCATCTGTGTAATGGTGGTGTCTGCTTAGACACCAGTTAAGAGGCTGAGAAACACCTGAAGTGGGAAGGGTACCTCACTGACCAAGCCTCCTGCATTATTATCTTGGACTTTTGGGTTTCTTCAAAGAAGCAACTGTGCCTTGTTTACCTACATGCAGGACCTGGCATGTAATAAGCAATCAATAAATGTTTGTTGAATTATTGTGTTTAGTACTGTACCTAATACACAATAACCAAAACCCAAACCTTTTGCCATTGAGTGGATTCCGACTCATAGAAACTCTACAGGACAGAGCAGAAATGCCCCATTGGGGTTTCCAAAGACCAGCTGGCGGATTCAAACTGCTGACCTTCTGGTTAGCGACCATAGCTCTTAGCCACTGTGCCACAACAGCTCCAATACACAATAGAGACCCAAAAAAATGTTAAGAGTCAGGATTCTACTGTTTATTTTGTTTTCAGATCAACCTTCCAAAACAGAAAGTAAGAAACAGAGGAGAATCTGTATCTTTCTCACTAATTAAGACATAAGGAAAAGAGACTAAAATAAACAAAAACGAGAAATAGAAAAATAAATTTTAAACAATTTTATTTTCAAATACTGTAACCTGAATTCAGTTTCCAACACATTTAGGGTTTGAAAGTAATTAGTTCTTTTTAGACACACCCCCTTTTTCCCAGCCCCCCCTTTTTTTTAAACTGAGAAAATAACTTTTGTGTACGTAGTACAGCCAAGTCCAAATCAGCAGAATCCAGATTAGTGAGATTTTATTACACTGTTACTCATTTTGGTATATTTCCTTAAAAAAAAAAAAAAAAGTCAAAGAACACATGCAAATGTCCACAAGACTGATTCTTCACTGTTTCCAGAAGACTCTAATAGAGATGGAAAGTGGATCTCTGTTGCCTGAATACATCGTAAGTATTAAATGAATGCTTCAGTTGACAGCTATTATTTATCATAGCTATGCTGTTAATCTGCTATGTATTACAACTCTTTAAAACCCACAGCATCACCTCTGCGTATTTCCCACTGGGGCAAAAAGCATTTTAAACATGCAATTACACAAAGAAATAACATTTACTCATCTTCTATCATACAGCTAGCATTACTCACGGCCATTTTTATTTGTAGGGTGTTTGATAATCAGGTATTAGTTAATCTTCACAACCACCCTAGGCAGATCATCAGTAAATTATTTTGCTTTAGCACACCACCACCAAGAAGTGTATTCAAGAATTAGAAAAGGATCCTAGATGGAAATGCTGGCATCCAGTTGACAGAGTACAGTGTTGGGATGTCTTTCAGATAAAGCTAACTTAAGAATCTCATTTAAACAAACCAAAAAAAGAAGAAGAAAAAAAGTCTCCAAGTTGACTGTCACTCTCATGAGAATTTTTCCTTTTTTTTTTTTGAATTTCACAAATTTTAAAACCACTACATATAATTTTCACATGTATGGGCTTAATGGAATTTTTTAACACTTCGTTGGAAGTAAACGACTGGCTACATAACAGCAACAGCTTCGTGGGCCAGCAACTCACAATGAAGCCAATGTTCAGAGAGCTTCATTTCATCCTCAAAGACTGGCCTACTTCTGCGTTTCAACCCAAATTCAAACGTCATCTATGAAATTGCTCCCAGCTTGGCTTACCTCCAAACTGATACAAGGATCCTCAAGGGAGGGCAGATCAGCTCAGGTGCAAAGCCACAGAAACAAGGCAGAACTAGTATGGTTCCCAGGACCAGGAGAGCCTCCCTACGTCCCACCCATGACACCGAGTTTCATTAGGAAACCTTCGCACAATAAAGCTGAAAGTCTGGGGTAGGTCAAGAACTAAGCCACCCTATGGGAGTGGGGAGTCAGGGTACTACTTAGTGGGCATTTGATCTTACTGTTTAGCATTTGTTGGCTATATCCCAAAGCATGGCATACATTCTTCAAATTCTATATACCTACCATTTCAAAAATAAAGTAAGAGAACAAAAAGCTCAAAAGCAAGCATACTTTGTGCAAAGTTATTCACTGAAGGGCTGTTCATGGTAAAATGAAATAACAGGTAAACTAAGGAATATGCAGATAAAATATTGATCAGTAATTTAGAATTACATTTACAAAGAGTTTAATAATATAAATACTTATGATAGACCCAAAAAACCTGAAAAAAAAAGTATATACTATCATGAACACAGCCATGTTAAATACACACACACACACACACACCCCTAAGATAAAGGAAAAAAAGGACAAAGTGAACATGTGAAAATGTTAAGATTATTCTTGGGCAAGAAAATCATGGGTGATTATTCAATTCCTCCTTAACATTTCCTACATTTTTTTTTCCTACAGAAGGCATATATTACTTTTTCAAATTAAAAAGAAATTATTAATTCTCTTCAAATAAAAAGATAAGACTACATTTTAAGTCTCAATAAAAAAAAAAAAAATCAGTGATATTATTTACTCACTTGAAGCCATGGTCTTCTATCAGTGTCTAAAGAGGCAGTTTTACCAGAGCACACACCAAGATAAAATAAAGTCTCACTTGATCCAATTACACTGTTTATTAAGAGCTATTTAATGAGAAGGTCACACCTTTGAGTTATTAGAAGCTATAATGGTCCTACAGAGTTCCAAACAAGTAAGCTAACAGGATTACCTTTGATTCTAAATTGTT